CCCCCCCTCTCCTCCCCTTCCTAAACCACCCCCCTTAAAGACTATTGCGCGCATTAAATTGCTTTTCATTTCCGTGCTGTGACAGTCTCTGAGATTGGGGGGGATTTATGCATTTTCACGACTTTCACTGTCATGCTATGGTAATTATTTCATAATACGTCCTTCGCTGCGGGGCACGGGCTGTTTGCACCAACCAACCGAGATCAAGTTCCACTAGTTGACAACGTTGGGTGGAAAGATGAAGCGCGCGCGTACATAGGATATCCTATGAGCAGGAGCAACAGAACTGCAGAAAACAGAAGAAGAAGAAGGAGAAGAGGAAAGGGGGGGATCGGATTCTCGCAGCCGAGGCGGCAACTGGAGGAACATTGATCTCCGGTCGATTTGGACGCACTGGCAATTGAAATAAAGAGACCTTGGGCAGATCTATACATAAACTGGTAGGAGCCGCACCGCTGGCAGCAGACAGGGGTGGGGGGGATTCGTGCCTCTCTCTGAGCCGCTTCCTTCGTCAGTGCGCATGGATGAAAGTCACAGTTAAAATGCATGCGGCAAGTCCTGTCTGATGTGGGATTACCGCGTTTTTATTCGCCCCCCTCGCCTCCCGACCATGTTCCAACTTTGGTTTTGGCTCTTTTTCCGAGATGACACTGCTAATTTCAGTCGGCGCTGGGAGAGCACCGGAGCCCGTTTCGCCGCGCTGGCTGTCACATCATCGGCGTGAATGAGAACGTTACCCGCGCTCGTCTATGCCTGGTTTATGGAGCTAAACACCGCGGAGACTTGAGTTGATTTTTTTTCTTTCCTCTTTCTTTTCTTTTCTTTTCTTTTCCTCCTTTTTCTTTTATATTTTTTAACCATCCGGCTGAAGGGCGGACAGTGAAATCACGAAATCCATGTTTTCACTGTGGCTGGGGGGAAAAGACCGGACACAGCCGTGATTTTCGGCATGTTTTGGCGTTTACCGGAATCAGCACGGTAAGAAAACCCTGATTTCTTTTCTTTCCCCCCCCTTTTCTTTTGGTTTAACTGCTTGTCTCAGCTGAGACGTTATGCCTTTTTAACGTATTCTTTTTTTATTGGGAGGAGGAGGGGTGAGTGTGTATCTGTGTGTGTGTGTGTGGAGGGGGGGATCTCTCCGTGGTGCTGAAACCTGCTTCCACCCTCAGTCACATTACTGAAGTTGATCCCGGATTTAAAGATGCTTTTAAGAAAGGTGTCTGCGGCCGCTGTGCCAGTAACAAGCACAGAGCCCGCATTTCTGCGCTCCAGTTAGAGCATCCCGTTTTTTTTTTTTTAAAAAAAGCCTGCTGCATCCGCACACGGATGCTCTGCAAAGACAAGGCGCGCTGATGCACTGGCGTTCCAAGTTATATCTCCATTATTTCCGTGAGCCTGGCTTTTAGAAACAAATATTTATTTATTTATTTGAAATGGTGTTAAACTGAAATATTTCAAACATTTTGATTGACACCTCAGTGGTGGAGTAGGCTACCTGTGTGCGTGCGTTAAAATTGCGCTTATTTATTTTATTTTGATTTTTTGGGGAAGGGAGGGGGTGATTTATGGAGCGATGTGTGGGCTTTTTGTGCTCTTTTAAGGAACGCACACAGACCCAAATGTGTGCGTCTGCTGTGCACGCGCGCGCGTGTGTGCACGCGCGCGTCTGAGGCGGAGAGAGAGAGGGAGAGAGAAAGAGAGAGAGATCTGTAACCTTCAATATAGCAGATGCCATACATAATACTTGATTATAGAATTATTTACTCCACGTCAAAATGTAGTTTGGATCAGAGATCCTCCGCGAGATTTGCCTTTGATCAACTCCTCTCCTTTCTTTCTTTTCAATCTTTCTTTTCTTTTTTTCCCTCTTTTTTCCGCCCGTGGGCAGCAGCAGCAGAAGAAGGAGAAGAAGAAGAAGAAGGGCTGCGACTGTCGCCTTGTAGGCTCATATTCACATTTTCTATGGCAGGCCGGATATATATATGTGTATCCATTTTTCTACAGAGATGAGGACTGTCTGCTTCTCCCTGTCGATTGGTATCAGGGAACCGGCATTTTATTTTTATTCGCACCGAGGACGGTTTTTAATCATAACACAGGAATAAACACCCCCCTCACCCCCCCGTCTTTTATCCTCATGTTGTGGAGGTGGAGAGAAGGGATCCGACAGTTTCCCCAAGTCGTCGGGTATGGGGGGTGAGTGAGGTATCTTTGTAGTTCGGAGATAGGAGTTCATTCTCGAGGTTTTAATGTGAGTTTGAATCCTCAAAGGAAAATACAAACAAACAAACAAACATTTACACATACTAATAATAATAATAATAATAATAATAATAATAATAATAATAATAATAATATCAGAGACCGTAAATGCAACAATCACCCATCTCACAAGGAATGTGACTCGAGATTACCTGACAAGAAGTGTCGTTTGTCGTATTTCCACTGTCATCTGTTAACAAATACTCGAATCTCCGAGTCTGCAAACGGTGGATGGCGATAGCTTCTTCTTTTTCTTCTTCTTATTCTAACAAGATGGATTGGAATTCAGGCGAGCTATCAAAAAATGCGCAGTGGCCGTCCAATAGCGGATACTTGTGTTAATTTAAATACAACATTCTTTATGCATGCAGTTGTTAAACACGCAACTTGTTTTCTGCCACTTTCAAAATCAAAATGATGCCGACATAACACATCTGCATATTGGAAAAATATGTGTGTGTGTTTGTGTGTGTGTGTGTGTGTGATGAATACATCTAATGTTTGCTCGTTTAGGCAAATTTGCATTTCTGTAAATATTGCACCTGTGCCCATGCTGTATAAAACACAACTCGTCCTTTTCTCTCCCCTCCTTAGATGACACCTCATACTGGTACTGCACTTGAGTGAGCTGGGGCATCCTCTCCCAGGAAAAATGCATATCTGGATCCTAAAAATAATACTTCTGATTGCATCATCTCTGAGGCTGGTTGAGATGTATGACAATTATGGGGAGATCTGTCGAAACCTGTGCACGTGCGAGGAGAAGGAAGGGATCCTGACGGTGAGCTGCGAGAACCGGGGGATCATCAGGCTGACGGAGATCAGCCCTGTCCAGTACTCCATGTACCACCTCCTGCTCACGGGGAACCTCCTGAAGAAGCTGTCGGTCGATGATTTCATCAATTACACCGGGGTGACCATCCTGCACTTGGGGAACAATGATATCTCTGAGATAGAGTCGGGTGCCTTCAATGGACTCCAGGGATTAAAAAGGTTGCACCTGAATAACAACAAGATAGAAGTTCTGAGAGATGAAACCTTTAAAGGACTTGAGAGCTTGGAATACCTACAGATTGATTATAATTTCATCACAAACATAGAGTCCAATGCCCTGAGCAAACTACACCAACTAACAGTGATGATTCTGAACGACAACCTGCTCTCTGCCCTTCCTCCCAACATCTTCCGGAATGTCCCCCTTACGCACTTGGATCTGAGAGGGAACCGCTTAAAAATGTTCCCCTATATTGGCCTCCTAGAGCATATGGACAAAGTTGTGGAATTACAACTGGAGGAGAATCCGTGGAATTGCTCCTGCGAGCTCATTGCTCTGAAGGCTTGGCTGGAGAGTATAGCTTACACAGCTCTGGTGGGAGAAGTGGTGTGCGAGACGCCATTCAGGCTCCATGGAAGAGACCTGGATGAGGTGTCAAAGCAGGAACTCTGCCCAAGAAGACCCCTAGAAGACACAGTTAGGCCTGCGCCGCCTAGCAGCACTAATGGATACTACCAGACCACACCAGCCGCTGTCACAGCCTCTGCCACCTCCTCGGCTGTTTTAAGGTCTTCTTCCAGGCCTACCAAGGGCACACGGCAATTGAACAGAACCAGGTTAAAGCCCACCTCCCGAATACCAGGCGGCAATCCATACAACTATGGCCCCATTATTGCTTTTCAGACCAAATCTCCTGTGCCTTTGGACTGCCCCACTGCCTGCACATGTAATCTGCAGATATCTGAAATTGGGTTAAATGTCAACTGCCAAGAGAGAAAGATTGAAAGCATTTCTGACCTAAAACCCAAGCCATACAATCCTAAAAAAATGTATCTCACTGGAAATTACATCCCTGTGGTGCGGAGATCAGATTTTGTCGACGCCACTGGATTGGATTTGCTTCACCTGGGAAACAACAGGATAACTCTGATCCACGACCGGGCTTTTGGGGATTTAACCAACCTGCGCAGGCTGTATTTGAATGGTAATCTCATGGACAGGCTCACAGGAGAAATGTTTTTTGGTTTGCAGAACTTACAATATCTTTATTTAGAGTACAACAAAATCAAGGAGGTCGATGCGGGCACTTTCCGCTATCTCCCTAATCTGCAGCTGCTTTTCCTGAACAACAATCTCCTGAAAACTTTACCTGTGGGCATCTTTTCCAGCCTCTCCCTGTCTAGGCTTAATCTGCGTAACAACCATTTCCAAAACCTCCCCGTGAGTGGTGTTTTGGATCAGCTCAAGCTGCTGTTGCAGATAGATCTGTTTGAGAACCCCTGGGAATGCTCCTGCGACATAGTGGGGATGAAGATATGGCTCGAGCAGCTCAGTGCAGGCACTGTGGTTAATGAGGTCGTGTGCAAGACGCCAAAACGCCACACAGGAATGGACCTGCGTTCTGTCCCGTCAGAGCAGCTCTGCCCAGATTACTCCGAAGCCTATGTCTCGCCGACTCCACCTACGGAGGAGCCCATGGACGAACACGTTGTCACCACAGGTGCTACTCGGAGGTTGGAACCCCGTGGCAGCACCGTCCCCCTCTCCGTCCTTATCCTCAGCCTCCTGCTTGTTTTCATCATGTCTGTCTTTGTGGCTGCAGGGCTCTTTGTTGTGGTCATGAAAAAGCGTAAAAAGTCACAGAGTGACCGTACTAGCACTAACAACTCCGACGTCAGCTCTTTTAACCTGCAGTACAGCCTCTACAGCAACCGCTCTGGACCTAAAGTTAAGGCCCCGGCTGGTCATGTATATGAATATATCCCCCATCCAATGGGCCATATGTGCAAAAATCCCATTTACAGGTCAAGGGAAGGGAACACAGTGGAGGATTACCGTGACCTCCATGAGCTCAAGGTCACATACAGGAGTACCCCAGATGATGAGAGGGACAGTAGTACGATGAGGAGCCCTTCATACAGTGTTAGCACCATCGAGCCACGTGAAAACCCTTCCCCTGTGCAGGATGCAGACCATTTCTTCAGAGGGATCCTTGAACCCGATAAGCAGTCACCCCACCAGTCCATCCCGTCAATCCCAGCTGGGGCCAATTTAGAGTACAAGTATACGGGGCCCGTGTCATACACGTACAACCCAAATTTTGATGTCAGACGTCAGTTCTTGCACCCGGAGAGAATAAGAGAAACAGTGCTCTATGGCACAGCACCCAGTACTGTTTATGTCGAGCCCAACAGGAATGAGTATTTGGAGCTAAAAGCTAAACTGCAGTCTGAGCCTGATTACCTCGAAGTTCTTGAGAAACAGACCACCTTTAGCCAGTTCTGAGCAACAGAGTCGTGAGCATAATGAAGCATTTTCTCTCTCGACCCTCCTTGAAACAGTGGCTCAGTTTCTAGGGTGCCTTGGCACAAATACAAACAAGCAAAAGAGAAAGAGTTGAAACGGGGTGTGCCGAACAATCTTATTCTTATTTCAGAAACATGACATTACAGGAATGGATACAGCTTTCTCGAGACATGGATGAACAAAATTGCTTAACTGATGATGCAAAATCTATTTTTCTATGGTGAAGATTGAATAACACACAAAAATGTAAGTGTACAGGTAAATCTTACCCAACTTCATTTTCAGGAATATAACCATACATAAGATATATTGTGAATCAGAAAAAGAGATGTTTATAAAAATCACACCTGGACATACAAGAAAAAACAAACAAACAACAAAAAAAACCCAACACATTGTACAGCAGATCATCAAAACTGTGTAGGACTATTTTCTGCTGTAGTCTGTAAGTAAGTATTTATTGATATAATCTGCCATGTCTTTTCAAAACTTTTGATTCTTCATCAGTATTACCTGTGTCATCATACTCCATCATCCTCCGGAAAAAGGCTTATGTTTCTAGTTTCATTTACTGTAGCTCTGCATTGTAAAAGTGGCTTTTCTTTCTTTCTTTTTTGTTTTTCTTTTCTTTTGTTTCTCGGAAAGTGGCACACCCCAATGTCCAAAACAGACTGCGTCATTTGAAGAAGATGAAAAAAAAAAAAAAAAAAAAAAAGAAAAAAGAAGTGTCTTTGTATGCTTTCTGCACTTTTTGGAAATGGAAGGCAAGTTCGCCTTCATTGAGCTCTCATAAAGGAGATTATTATATTAAAAATGAATATGGCTATTCATTCTTAATATGTAGGATTGATATGTTATCAAAACGAAAATTCATAAATGATATTTGAAGTATTAATTATGTTGTGTAATACTGGCATTTTAATCAATGTAACACCTATTTTTATACGAGCATTGGCAAATTCTCTATTGATTATGGGTTTCTTTTGTTTTGATTGTTTTGCACTTATTGCACTATATTGACCAAACTATGTTATCGTCATCAAATAAACATGATGTCAGGTTCATATAATGTGCTTATGCGGAAACTGAAGGTGGAATGAGGCCATTTGGGTTTTTGGTTCAGCATGTGGGTTTTAGATGTGCAATCAAGAGAGTTTTCCCACAGCTAAAAGTCGTTTTATGCCATAATCAGTTAACAATATATCGGCTGACCAGATCAGACTATGGTGTGCACTCAGTCAAAGAAGATAAAGACAGTGTATACGTGCTCCACTTAAAGGGGAGGTTGCGTCGTCAGTGAGAATTGAAATCAATGGGTATTAATCAATGACCATTATGTAAGGCTGGCCTTCTGCAATTATACCGCGACAACATAATCCACATTGTCGTCTGTCAATGGATGAGCAGGTGTTTTATATAAACATCATTTAACATCTTCGCAAAGTCAGCGGGTATGAAACATAAAGATGTGCTGGATTATGTTTTTGGTGTCGAAACGTAATAGGTTTGTTTGATATGCAAACAGTTTTGTAAGTCAAGAAGTTTAAAAATATAAGAAAACATGTTCAAAATCTGCTTTTTTTCTCCGGTCTTTCAAGTGCTTGTTTGTTAATTGACTTCTCACTTGACCCACTTAAATCCAATATGCAAAGTAGATCTATAAAAATGCAGAGGATGCACTGTGCCACCATTTTCAGTGTGCAGCAAGCGTCACCATTTAGGAATTCAGTGTTCCAGAACTGAGATGGGCACGGATCTTTCTGGAGAGGAATCAAAAGAATGGAAGCAGTGTGTGTGTGTGTCTGTCTGTGTGTGTCGGGGGAGGGGGGGGCTGTGCCACATCAGACACCTTAATGCGACACTTAATTCTGAACTCAAACGGAATAACTATGAATTTATATTATTTTAATCGACTTTTTCCCTGTAGAAAAGGTCTATTTTACGGTATTTAACTGTACTGAGTTTTCTATGCGGTGCCAGCTGCCTTTTCTCAATGACAAAAAAGGGAAAAAATCCAATGCTCTGGGTCCTCTTCTTTTGTTGGAGCTTTTCATAGAAGCCCAGAATGAGAACAGAAGGCACCATTTGGGAGATGAGGAGTCCTGGAACTGAGTGTAACTGTGGATGTGTCATACATGTAGCAGGGGATGTGAATCATAGCCAAGAAGTGCGTGCAGTTGCCCAGTATTAGTGGCCTATGGGATGTCGCAGTACTGACGATTTTTGACATTATTTATTTTTCTGATGCCAATGTTGAAAGAGGAAATCATTTATAGTTTACTGAGGTTCAACAAGGATCTGAGCAGTGCATTGACAAATTGTTTAAAATGCGGGCAGATGGCTCTTTTTCTTTTTATCTGTTTTATTATTATTATAATATTCATAGTATTGTATTTTTCAGGATGATTTGGCTACGGTCAAGTGAAAGAAGAAAAAAAACAAAACAAAAATGCTTTAGCACAATTACATAATCACTGAATCATGTATTCCAAATGGGCTTATTAATACCATATGCGTGCATATGCACATCTCTCTAGCCCAAACTCCCAGTGTGGACGTTTATCACTCTGTCCCGGTGTAATTGGGGGATGGATGCACTGAGAATCCCACTGCAGGAGGCTATAATGTGCACGTGTGTGTGCGTACTGATAGAGGGGGATGGCGGGGGGGTGGGGGTGGGGGGGGATGCATCAAGGAAGGACAAAGAGTTTATTATTATTATCCTTTCCCGGATTATTCAGTCTATAGCCTTCTATCAGGCTTCTATATAGTGCATTCAGCGGCTGTGGAAGTTTTTCTGCAATAATCCCTCACACAAACAGTACGTTTTCTGCAGTGGTCAATATTTGTATTCAGATGAGGAAAGAAGCTCTAAGGTGAAATATCTCCAAATGTGTTGCTTCATGCTACACACGAGCCCCCATGATTTATGGCTAAAACTCACCGTGTGGAATCTGATGCAGGGCTGATGCAACACAAGGCATGATGTAGGTGCAGATGTAGCTGTCACAGAGGCCTCACTCTTTTGCTTTGCTTGCAGCAAGGAAAGTTCAGAAGACACTGGTTAAGTTTGTTTAAAAGATTTTTTTTCCTCAGAAAACTAAAAGCAGAGGGAGAGACACTCTCCTTCTGCTTTCACACCATTTGAGAGTTAATCAATGTTGAATCAGAGTGGGACAGCGCGTGAAACCCGTCCAAGCTGCGTGAAGTTGTTGGCTCATCATTCTGCTATTTTCGGTACATGGACTTTAAGTTGGAGGCAATTATTTTCTAACAGTGTATGAAAATACCCGGCTAATTAAACATTTTCTGGATTTGATTTAGCAGACTTATGCTAAGATTATATTTCATAGCTGATCAGATGGCACTGGCAGAGTTTTGTGTTTATGGTAAATAAAATCCGCTTGATGCTACACATACACAGGGCCACGTTTACCTACTACAGAGCCCAGGGGCAAAAGAAAGCTCAAGGCCCCCTTCAGTTCCAGTTCCTCTTTGTGTACTGCATATGTATCATGTTGCCTTTTAAGTGTCCATAATGCAAAATATGTACTGTTTAGTTTGCTTCTGAACAATTTTATTGACTAAATCATATAAACAGAAATTAAAGTATTCAAGTACATTAAAGCCAGGACTTCAATAAACAGTAAAAACTTTGATTATGCATTATTAGTTGTTATGCATAAGAATAATTTTTTCAAGATGTTTTATATATTTACATATAAGCAACAAAAAATTCAAAGCATTCCACAAATTCAGGATTTAATACAAAGTAGAAATGAAAGCATTGGCCTTAAGCCCTCGTACTTTTTATTGTTTTTAAGTCTTTTTTTTTATTTGAAATGAATCAAATTTCCAACAAAGCAATTGTCAAAAACAATGAAGACAGTCTTGATTATACATAATTGCTTATACATAAGCAATGTGTGTAGATTCACATACATAACAAAAACAGTGTTCAGTAGAAATATTAGGTTTCAGTCCTTTTACCTGTCGTATACTTTAATTTTGAATTAAATTTACCACAAAGTAATTGTCAAAAGTTATAAAGACTGTCTTGCTTATGTGTTAATGAGCTCTTATGCAAATGAATGGCTTGTCAAAATGTGTTGTGTTAAAAAAGCAAAAAAAGATGTATTTGCTTTGGTTTTTTTTATTTTGTTGGGCCAAAACGGTGTAGAAAATTTAAATGAATATGTAGCAAATGGTGTTTTAAAAATATTTAATGTTTGAATGGCTAATGCTGAATCATTTTGTTTCAAATCCTGAGAGCTCAAACAACACAAATTCACATCAACTTTTTTGATGATGCATTTGATGATTTCCTTCTTTCTTAAATATTTTTTTCGTAAGGCTTTTAATTTGAAGGATTGTATTATTGAATTGCTGGCCTGATGAAAAAAAACATTGACAAAAGTGATTAAAAATAAGTGTTATTTTGATGAAATTATTATTTTTGTTTCTTATCATATGAAATGGGGGTGTCAAACTCATGTCCACATTTAATAAGCTTTTTTTTTAAAACAAAATTAGCAAAAAATAATTCAGTTAATCAATCATTACATCTCTTATTTCACATGAATGTAATGTACCTGTCATTACAGGTACATTACATTAAAAGGTTTTGTGCCTTTATAAAATGTACATTTTTCATAAGTAAACAGTAGTATTATTTGCTTTTATTATTTAAACAGTTACTAGATCTGAAGGCCATCCAATTGGCTGAATTGGCCCCCCTGGCAGGCCACATATGGCGCCAAAGCCATGTGTTTGATACCACTGCAAGAGCTTCATTATTTTAAGCTTGTATGCATTGTCTCTCTTTTAGTTTACCACCTGACGCTGCAACAACATGTTTAAATGATAATTAGGCCAATGCGCGGCTGCCCGCTCTATACGGAGACAGATAGAGAGGGTGGACATTTTCCATATGCTCGAGCGATGCCTCGCCTACCCCCTGCTGAAGATGCCTCATCCTCAGCGCTGCCTCGCTGCATTCCTGCCACTCGGTCTCCCTGATGATGTGAGCAATTGAGTTCAAGGAGATCTGGGTAATTGAGAGGGCAGGGATGGCATCTGACAGGCACCGATGGCTCCAATGATTACTTTAATCAGAGTGGTTAATGGAATTCCTTCAGGCATGTAGAAATGCTCAAATGTTCATCAGCATTGAACCGATTTTTACCCCCACTACTACACCTCCTCCTCTTCTACCTCACATTGCTATAATTACTGATCAGTTTTCTTTCCTCTTTATGCCTTTAGTTTCTGTTTAACACTCAGCAGGTGATGAGGTGTTTGTTCATGTGGTCTTGTGTGAGTCCACAATGGAAGTCACTGGGATGCTTTATGGTCAGAATGCATTATGGATGAAGTGTTTCTAACATTGGTAAATGTGTTAACATTAAAAGGGTCAGTCAAGCACTCAAACACAGTGAAATCTGTATACAGACAAGCATGTGCTCATAAAAATACAGAGCACTTTAGGCTTGTGTATAATGACTGCTCAAAATGAGACGTTTATGTCTTATTATGCAAATAAAATAATTGTTCTGTTCCATGAATACTTTACCAACTTTCAGAGCTAATCAGCCTCTAAGTTAACAGCCTTACTGTCTAGCCTGTGCTGAATAAACTTTAAGAAACGATCCATTGCACAGTCTGGATCCAGACTCCGATGCCATCTGCCAAACAAACCAGGCTACTTGTTGTTTAAATTCTGTTTATATAATTGGTTTGAGAACATTTTTTCCCCCTTTTGTGATATGCATGCTGGCAAAATGTGACAGATATATTTGTATATTTTTGAATTGATTTGTTGGTTCTTCTGTCCATCTGCAAACTGTCTGGCTATGTAATGTTTGTAAGAAATGAACAATGATTTTCCTTTGGGGCGTGGTAAAATCTCAATGTTTTCCTTGCACGCTTTCTTTTTAAAATAGCTAACGACATGAAAGGCCAGAAATATTATGCCAACTGTCACTTGAACAATGTGTTAACTTGTTTTATGTTGTGTTTACTAGCAAAGCAAGCAGCTGTACTAATTAGCAGAACTTCACCTTACATAATTTTCCATCCAAAAGACTATGGTATTCAATTTAGGATGTTACTACATATACATACACTTATTACTACCAGATTAGGCCCATTTTGCCTTTAAAACTTCCATAATTCTTCATGGCACAGCTTTGACAAGGTGTTAATGTTGCTCTGAGATTTTGGTCCATTATCATATGATAACGCATAGCACCACACAGTTGCTGCAGATTTGTCATCTGCTGATGTGTGAATCTGCAATTTCACCACATCCCAACGGTATTCTGCGGAGGCCATTTGAGAAAAATCAACTCATTGTTATGTTCAACAAACCAATTCGTGATGATTTGAGTTTTGTTACCATTTGGTGCATTCTCCTGCTGGAAGCAGCCGCGAGAAGATGGGTACACGGTGGCCATAAAGTGATGAACATGGTCAGCAAGCCTACTCAGGTAGGCTGTTTCACTGATGTTGTTTATGCCAAATTCTGAGCCTAGCATTTGAAAGTCACAGCAAAAAAAGAAATTCTAAGTTTTCCCAATCTACTGTTGTCCAGTTTTGGTGAGCTGGTTGAACAGTAACATCGGTGTCCTGTTTTTAGCTGTCAGGAGTAGCGTCCCATCTGCTTCAAGTCTCGATGCGTTGCGCATTCAGAGATGCTCCTCTGCATACCTTGGATGTAAAAAGTGGTTATTTGGGTTACTGTAGCCTTCCTATACGCTCAAGCAGTTTGGCTGTTGTCCTCTGATCTCGACAAGGCATTTTACCAGTAAACAGCTGCTCACTGGATATTTTCTCTTTTTCTGACCATTTTCTGTAAACCCTAGAAATAGGGTCAACATCAACTAGCTGCAATGCCATTGACTGATTAGATATATGCATTAACAAACAGTTGAACATGTGTGACTAATCAAGTCTATATAAAGTAAATATATAGGAAATGAAGCTTGAATTCGTGGAATCACAGTCAGAATATACTGACAGGCCTCTGTTTTTCTTTGGAAGATTAAAATCTGTGCCCACATCATGTGCTTCAGGTTCTGCCTGAATGTTATTTCCACCAACATGTCCCTAAGGAATAATGCATAATATCCTCTCTGCAATGTTTTGTTTGAACATGATTACTCATGAGCACAAATAACATCCCACTAAAGGAAATAAGATCCCAAGGCTATAACCTAAAGGCTATAATGACAGGGATGAAACTACAGAGCACAGATTTCTACGGGTTCATTCAATCATGTCAAAATTCCATCAGGATAATCTGACTTTCATTCCCTGTAGTCAGATTTTAGGCCAAACATTCAAGTTTGAGTTCATGTGTTTTAGAATTAGGTCTGTATTTATGTATGCATAGGTTATTTATATAGAATACTGTACTATTGTAATCCTGTGTGTGCATGTATGTCTGCGTGTGTGCACATGCATTAATGTCATCATGTGACATGGCATGACATAGGAGTAAATCCCTCTTTTGCTTAAAAAACAACATAATGGAAGTCATTCTTATTCTGCTGTTACCATTAGAGGCACCCCCACCCCTCTCAATTCAATGTGAAAGGTAATCCTGAATACA